GGATATCCATAAGCAAAAGAATGAAGATGGACTCTTTCCTTACATGATATGCAAAAATCAACTCTAAATGAACTGAAAACTTAAACATAAGTGATAAAACTATAAAACTCTCAGGCGAAAAAGAGAAAAATCTTCATGACATTGAATTTGGCAACAAACTCTTTTTGCACATGACACCAAGAACAAAGGTGACAAAAGAAAAAATAGATAATCTGGATCAAGATTTAAAACTTTTGTTCATCAAAAGTAACCCAACAAATGGGGAAAATATTTACAAATCACATCTCTGACACAGGATTAATATTGTGAATACAGCCCAGGTCCCATGGCTCATGCCTATAATCCCAGCACTTTGGGAGGCTGAGGCAGGCTCACAAGGTGAAGGGACCGAGACCATCTGGGCCGATATGATGAAACCCCGTCTCTACGAAAAATACAAAAATTAGCTGGGCATGGTGGCGTGCACCTGCAGTCCCAGCTACTCGGGAGGCTGAGGCAGAAGAATAACTTGAACTGGGGAGACGGAAGTTGCAGTGAGCAGAGATTGCACCACTGCACTCCAGCCCATTTAAAGAGTGAGACTCCGTCTCAAGAAAAAAATCCAGAATACAAAAAGAATTCATACAACTCAGTAACAACAACAAAACCAATTCAAAAATAGGCAAATGACTTGAATACACATTTCTCCCAAGATGAAAGGATGGCTGGCCAACAAGCACATGCAAAGATTCTCACTATCACTAATGATAAGAGAAATTCAAAACCACAATGAGATGCCACTTCACACCAATTAGAATTGCTATTACTAGAACCCTGTGCATTGCTAGTGGGAATCTTAAATGATGCAACCATTGCAAAAGGCAGTATGGCATGTCCACAAAATATTAAACTTAGAATTACCGTAAGATCCAGCAATTTCACTTCTGGTTATATATGCAAAAGAATTAAGGCAGAGGTTCAAACAGATATTTGTACACCAATGTTCAAAGCAGCATTATTCACAACAGTCAAAACGTGGAAACAACCCAAGTGTCAACCAACAGATGAATGGGTAAACAAAATGTAGAGCAATAGGATGTTATTCAGCTTTAAGAAGGAATGAAATTATGAGACATTCCACAACACGAATGAAATTGAAAATATCATGCTAAGTGAAATAAGCCAGATACAAAAGGATACATACCATATGACTCCACTTAGATGAAAATACCTTGTGGCCTGGTGCAGTGGCTGAAGCCTGTAATCCCAGCACTTGGGAGGCCAAAGCAGGCAGAGCACCTGAGGTCATAGTTTGAAACCAGCCAGGCCACATGGTGAAACCCCATTTCTACCAAAACACAAAAATTAGCTGGGTGTAGTGGTGTGTGCCTGTAATCCTGGCTACTTGGGAGGCTGAGGCAGGAGATTCGCTTGGCACCGGAAGGTGGTGGTTGTGGTGAGCTGAGATCATGCCACTACACTCCAGCCTGGGCAATAGAGCCAGACTCCATCTCAAAAAAAAAAAAAAGAAAAAAAGGAAAGTAAAGAAAAGAAAATACCTTGAGAAGTCAAATTCAGAGACAGAAAATAGAATGGGGGTTCCCAGGGCTGGGGATAAAGAGGGATGAGGAGTTACCAGTTTATGTGTTTAAGACCGAGTCAAGTGCAGTAGTGAGAAGGGGGAGAGTAGAATGGAGGAGTTAAAAAGTCCAATATACAAATCAGAAGTGTGGGACACATCAAATGGAAGCCAAGCATATTCCTACCTCCTTGTAAGGCAGATCCTAAAGTACAGATGGGCTGTGTCATTACTCTGAATCACCCCCAAGCCTTCCATGGGACCCACACCCAAAGAAGGCACCATTAATAACCTATCATGTACTTAAGATTCCTCCCGATACAGTACTCAACAGTCACGCCTACCAAATAAATCCATGATCAGACATCTGCCATCCTGGCCTTAATACAAGTGACCTCTGAGAACAAATCTGCCCTTCTCTTCCTTTTGCAGGAGCCCTTTCTCCTTTCCTTTCTGCAGAGCTTCTCCTATGAAAGGCCCATTTTAGCCCTCATGCAGTGCAAGTAAGCCAATACTCTCAATCTCACTGTTAAAGAAACAGTAGAAATATCTCCAAATGGATCACTAAAACTTCTTAGTTTTGGAAAGAATATCAAATTCCATCAAGTTGCAAGCCATCATTTTACAGAATGGAAACTCAAAGCCTTGACTAGAATAAGGGCTAATCTAGTTCTCCCAGCTGAGAACCCACATATTAAGATAAACTAGTCTGGCTTTATTTTAGAACCAAGAAAACAAAATAAGTGCTTTTCACAAGTTAATTTTTAAATAAATGTACAAGGTGTATATTATTTTATATTGTCCAAAATATCAACATATTGGATTTTTTGCAAAAGCCCTTTACCACCTTACGCATACCAAAAAAGTTCTTCTCTTGGGTGATTTAATAGACCTAATAAGTGTCAGATGAATTAAATATTTTGGCTAACAAGAGGTACAGTCAAGTCTCTGAATCTGATCTGAATTCAGTGCCCCATGCCCTGACTACTGCAGAGGAAAAGGCGATAAAGTAGGAGGATGCTGCCATACTTGCGTCTTTGCTGCTTTTCCATTCCTCTACATCTTGTTCCATTTAGAACAATTTAACCGCCTGAGGTACCAAGAACCCATGAAACAACCTTGAAATCATTTATATATTTATTCAAACTTATGAAAAAAACCTAAGCACATGCAAAATTGGAATTTAGCTAAAACTTTTTCAAAAATAAATTAGGGAATTATGTGGCCGCCACTTGATGGGCTTCTGTGCTGCGTTAAGAAATGACAATGGCCAGGTGCGGCAGTGGCTCATGCCTATAATCCTAGCATTTTGGGAGGCCGAGGCAGGTGGATTGCCTGAGCTCAGGAGTTTGAGACCAGACTGAGCCACATGGTGAAACCCCGTCTCGACTAAAATACAAAAAATCAGCCCAGCATGGCAGTGTGTGCCAGTCTTGGCAACATGGCTAAACCCAGCCTCTACCAAAAAAAAAAAATTTTTTTTAATTAGCCAGGCATGGTGACATGTACCTGTGGTCCCAACTACTGGGGAGGCTGAGGTAGGAGGATCGCTTGAGCCTGGGAGGCGGAAGTTGCAGTGAGCTGAGATTGTGCCACTGCACACTGCAGCCTGGGCGACTGAGACTGTCTCAAAAAAAGAAAAAAGACTAGATTCTTCTTTCCACTATTAATCAACTTCTCAGAAGAAGATACTATTTACATAATTTAAGGACTTTAATATATTTAAAATTTTATGCAAGACACTTTTGTGGTTGGTCAAGGATTTCAATAACCACTGAAAGTAGAGTTGTCTTCAAAATAATGCCTATGTATCTTTTGTAACCAATTCATAAACGATCTCTCTTTCCAGTGTAACTTTTTCTTACTATCCTGACTAGACCATGTTAGGCTTTTTTAAAGGTATGCTTTTTTTTTTTTTTTTAAAGATTTATAGTAATATCAGTAAGATTCTCTTAGTCTAAAACTAAATAAGGACTAAACTATCACCAGTAGCAGTTTCTAATGGAATTAAGCCAAATAGTGAGAAATGCCCTGATGACAATTCACCACTTGTGAGGAGAAAGCTTACTAATCATGCTCTTTGAGTGGAAAAACTAGTTCAGCTAGACTACCCAGAGCAATGAGTTGCCGCTCACGCATCTACAAACTTTTACACGTATAAAGTACATTCATGAAGTGTCTAACAATTTAACACCTTTTATAGTATGAGGCAACAGGTCATATGTAGAGACAGCAACAATCCAAAATCTAAATGACTGGCAGATTTCAACACAAGCCAAAGACCGATTGTTTCTAAATCAACTGTTGCCAAGTTTCTCTCGGCCCCTTTCCATACCCCCCTCCAAATTCAAAGCTATCTTCAAATTTTTCGATCTCATCTGATTTTAGAAATGGGAAGCATTAAGTGTCAAAAAAAAAAAAAAAATAGGAAAGCTAATTAATTGGATGATTTTTTTTAAATTTATTTATCTAATTTTTAGAGACGGGGTTTCAGCATGCTGGCCAGGCTAGTTTCAAACTCCTGACCTCAGGTGACCCACTTGACTTGGCCTCCCAAAGTGCTGGGATTACAGGCATGAGCCACTGTACCCTGCCCAAAAAAATAAAATTTCTAAATGCCAAAATAGCTATAAAAAATTAAAAGGCAAATAATTACTGTTATAAACCTTTAAAACAACACATATACACACTCAAAACTGTCAAGGTGTTCACATTTCTTGGGAATTTAAAAAATAACTTTCTTTATACCCAGCAGAATCAAACATTTTTAAAAGTCCCTGGTGGTATGAAGAACACACTAAAAAGTGGCACTAAATTAATACAGTTAACAGTAGAAATACAAATTGGCAAAGCCTTCTAGAAGGCAATCAGTAATATTTAAGAAGCTCAAAAAAAGATATTTATTTTCTTTGACTCAGAAATGACCAGAAATTTATCCAAAGAGAAATAATAAAAGATTATATATAAATTTTTTCATACGGAATATACACAGAAGCATTAGTTATAATTTAAGTGATTTATGATTATAATGTGAAAACCCAGAAGTCAAAATGTGGGGAATATTACAGTACCAGCATATGAAAGAATGCTATGCATCTATTTAAACTACTTTGAAAGAACATGGGGAAATATTTATAATTTTTTAAAAGACAAGACAATCTATATCTAACTCTTCAATATACACACTACACGTTTTTGACAACAAAAAACTTTGGCCTAATCTTGTCTTCTAGTTCAAGGTGTCAGTATGAGCGCATGTGCTTATTTCCTCTCCCTCCTAAGAAGTTAAATAAATTTTTCTAAGGAAATTTAAAAATAATTTTAATTTAAAATATTTATTAAAAAGACAAGGTGGATTGCCCATGGCTCTGAAAGATGAAAACAGATGGAAGAACGTGAACTGAGTAAGCAGAGTGGAGGGAGCAGAGAGCGGAATACTCACAGAGGAGCTGCAGCGAAGGAGGAAGGCTAATCTTCTGGGCAGAACCCCAGAGAGGCGCCAGTTCAGTGACCGTCGTACGAGGAAGGTCAGTAGTGAGAAGTGGGACTGAAAACATCTGTCATAGCGAGAAGTCAACAGAGAATGTCTCAAGTTGATAAACCAAAGAATAAACACTATAAATATATTATTTAGAAGCACGGAGTTAAGCCCCCAGGAGATCTGAACCTAAAAGGTTTTAAAAGCACTTGCCTCTTGGGAATTCTTCATTATCCTTCACTGAATGCAGTGTTCACTATTAGACCTCTTGAATCACTGGTATTTTATTATTTGGGTTTTTTTAAAGCTAAGTGTGTGTGTGTGTGTGTGTGTGTCACACACATATAATGTTGATTTTTAAGTTTTTATTCTTTTTAAATCTTACATTGTGTTCACTTTGCTTTCGTACACAAACCTCAATTGTACTTCTTGTTCACTAAGTCATTTGGCAGTGTTCTTCAACCATTATACACAGTCATGAAATAGATCTAACGGGACATAACCAGCACTTATTTCTCCTAAGAGAAACAAAAACTAAAACAGGGGTATTGTTGGTAAAGGTTTCATTTCAGCTATCCATGTTTAGTAAAATGTATGCACTGGGGTACCATGGAAAATACCTTCCCTATTGTATCTACTCTCAGCCCAGCAGGCAGAAGTAACCCTGCAAAAATATGAATCACATAATGTCACTATACCAATGCTTCCCATTCTCACTCGGAGCAATGGCCTGCGTGGGCCTATAGGGTCCTTCAGAACTAACCAGCATCTCCCTCCAACCTTCAGCTAACTCTCTGCCACCTCCTCCCAACATTCAGGTCAGCCCCACCTCAGGGCCTCTGTGCTTGCTGTGCTTCTCCTCTGCATGAGTCACTCCTTCGCCCGAGTTCCTTGGTCCACTGTCAGCCTATTTTTAATTAAACCCCACCCCCTTACATGTTTCTTATTTTAGCCTCTTTCCCTGTTCTATTTTCCCTGTTCTGTTTTCTATTTTTCTATTTTCTATTTAATAGAAAGTTTTCAACTTTCTATTAATTCCTATCTCTCCTACCCCGATTAGAATGCAAGCTCTAAAAGAACAAGGGTTTTCGTTTATTTACTGACATAGCCCCAGGACCTGTGACAGTATCTGGCAGTAAATATTTGCCAAATAAATGTATTACTTAAAAATATGTATCACTTTAGGAAGAAGCCATGTTATTGACAATGAAACACAGCAATCCTTAAGTTTGGAACACTTAAGAAATCTGGATAACAATTTTAATGGATGAGGATAAGTTATAATTCAGACTCTAGACTGTAAATTCCAGCTATCACAATATTGAATAAGTTGCTGACATACTCAAAATGTGCAAGTCTACTGAAGTAACCTTTGTTATCAAGAGTAATGTAAGGAATGTATCTTAGCCATCATTTTAAAAAAAGAGAAAGAAAAAAACATATGGGAGAATCTGTTTACCAAACAGCTAAAATGTTTAAAATGTAAAAGACTTACACCTTTTGTATAAATTGCAGTGAAAAGTCTCACTCTTAGTAACCACAACTTGCACACATTCCCAATTTTCACAATTCCCTTCAACCCTGAATGAAGACTCGGGGGGCTTATCACTGATCACCTTTTCTTCAGAATAAAACAAAGAGGCAACCAGCATTCAGGAGACAATCATATAACAGGTCTTGAATTGTGGCACATGAATGGCAGAGCATGTCAGTTATAATTTCCCTGATTTTTTTTTTTTTTTTTTTGACAGGGTCTCGCTCCGTCGTCTAGGCTGGACTTCCAAAGTGCTGGGATTACAGGCATAAGTCACCATGCAAGGAACATTTCTATTTTTTTTTTTTCTGGTCTATTTTGTAGCTCATTGAATAGAAAAAAAAAAATCTTCGATAGGTTTTCAATGATTGACAGGGCAAAGTCATTGAACACTTCTCTCTCAAAAACAAAAATACACATGGCAAAATCAGATTTCTACTATGTACAAAAGTTTACCCAACTGCAAAAAGAAGTATCTCTAAGCCTGCAATTCAATAATGGCTTTCTCTTATCTCATGCCATTAATAAAACACAAGACTTGACAAAACCAGTTTACTCAACATTTGCTGTGTTCCTAAGCAGTAAACTGTAATATGGGCCACTGTGTAACTGGTTTTAACCCATCTTCTCAAAAACAACGTGATTTTGCCTGTTTTTTGTTTATTTGTTTTTGAGTTTTTGAGAGGGAGCCTCACTCTGTCACCTAGGCTGGAGTGCAGTGGCACAATCTCAGCTCACTGCAGCCTCTGCCTCCCCAGTCAAAGTGATTCTCCTGCCTCAGCCTCCCAAGTAGCTGGGATTACAGGCGCCCACCACCATGCCCAGCTAATTTTTGTGTTTTTAGTAGAGACAGGGTTTCATCATGTTGGCCAGGCTGGTCTCAAACTCTTGACCTCAACTGATCCACCCACCTCACCGTCCCAAAGTGCTGGGATTACAGGTGGTTTTACCTGTTTTTACCACAAGTAAAAACTTTTTTTAAAAGAGGGAAATAAATGAGACAAGTTGAAAGAGCAACTCACAGACATAAATAAATAAAATTGAATGAAGTAGTGAAGCCATTGGCAAAATGAAAACTGAATCATATATAGGAAGTAATCAGCCTGGCACTGATGAAAACAAACATGATATGAAACAAATCTTAAGAAAACTACATTGAGCACAGCAGAAAAGAACAAAGGAAGCATTTAGAAAAGCAGTGAAACAGAAGACAGGAAATGAAAATAAACAATCATAAAACTGATGTTTCTTGAGTAAAGAAAAATAAAAATGAATGCATATTAGAAGGTATATAAGAAAATATTCCTGAATCTGCAGTTTGAAGGGCTTACCATTTAACAGGAAAATGTAATAGAGAATCACACCAAGATCGAGTTATATCCTGATGAAGTTACTGAACTTCAAGGATAAAGAAAGAATTCTAGCAATACTCAGGCAGAAGTAGGTCACCTACAAAGGGAAAAAAACAGTCAGGCTGGCCCCAGACTTCTCTAGAGTAACCCTAGATGCCAGAAGATAATGGAATAGTGTCTGCTGGGTATTAGGGAAAGGGAAACGTAGCCCAAAAGTTCTGTAACCAGCCGAAACATTATTTTGCTTGTGAAAGCCACTATCAGATATTTAAACATAAGAGCACTCAGTCAACCACTCCTGAAAGACCTAATTGATAAATATAATAGATTTAAATATATTAAAACTATTATAATACCCATATAACAAACGACCATGTGTATTCTAAGATGCATGGTTTTTCACATTTTTTGTATATCTGAAATCAGCATGCGTATTTCTTTCTTTTTCTTTTTTTGAGACAGAGTATTGCTCTTGTTACCCAGGCTGGAGTACAATGGCACCATCTCGGCTCACTGCAACCTCCACCTCTCAGGTTCAAGCAATTCTCCTGCCTCAGCCTCCCAAGTAGCTGGGATTACAGGCGTGAGCCACCACGTCCGGCCAGCATGCATATTTCAATCAATGGTATGTCATAGTTTCTTTGACAGCATTTAACTCTATTAGTGGTACACAAAATAATGAAGCATGCAACCACCAATGGTATCTTACACATAATGAAATACAGTACATAACTTACAAAATGAGAGAGAAGAGCAAATAAAGAAAACAAACCAAGTAGTTTAAAACAAGAAAACCAGGCCGGGGCGCAGTAGCATATGCCTATAATCCCAGCACTTTGGGAGGCCAAGATAGCAGATCACTTGAGGTCAGGAGTTCGAGACCAGCCTGGTCAACATGGTGAAGCCCTGTCCCTACTAAAAATAAAAAAATTAGCCAGGTGTGGTGGCAGGTGCCTGTAACCCCAGCTACTCGGGAGGCAGAGGCAGAAGAATCGCTTGAACCCGGGAGGCAGAGTCTACAGTGAGCCAAGATCGCGCCACTGCACTCCAGCCTGGGCAACAGAGTGAGACTCCATCTCAAAAAGAAACAAAACAAAACAAAACCAAAAACAGAAAGCAAACATACAGATGACAACAAAAACAAATACACTAATATTATGTAAGCAAAGCAAAATATATGTTAATGTAAATGATGAAAAGCATCTCAAATTGTGTCCAAAAAGACTAACCTTGATCCAACTACATGGGTCAAAGAGATAAACCTAAAACAGAGACTTTGAGAAGTTAAAAGTAAAAGATTAGATGAAAGTATACCTCACAAGTATAAACACCCTTTCAAAACCAGTTAAATTCAAACTGAAAGAAAATTAAAGGAGGCAGAAAAGGGTCATTTTTAATATAATGATCAAGATTACAATCTATAAAGATATAACGTTATAAAACTATATACACCAAAATCTTCATAATATATAGTTAGAACAAAAACTTTAAAGAAACATTAGAAAAACCTTTAGGCAGAAGCAACGTAAGAGGATTACCATTTCAATCCTGAAAGATCAAATATACAAACAATAAAATGGCTGAACATATGAAAGAATGAGATCAAGTCTCTATGCAACAGTTATAAAAACTGGTCATCTATTTAGGCCATTAACACCTCAAAAATTTCAAGAAAGCAGAAACAGTCCAAAGCACACTTAAGCTACTCTCCTTAATGCTTGACTTGACAGTTTATGTACTCTCTCTCCTTAAATTACCCCATTCAAGTAGTTGAATGGAGTAATACAAATCAAAATCAAGAGATTACCTAGAAAACAACAACTATAAAAACTGCCCATATAAAAATCTCTGGTATGACTGGGTCCAGTGGCTCACGCCTGTAATCTCGGCACTTTGGAAGGCTGAGGCAGGTACACTGCTTGAGCTCAGGAGTTCAAGACCAGCCTGGGCAATGTGGCAAAACCCTGTCTCTACAAACAATAAAAAAACAATTAGCCGGGCATCCTGGCACATGCCTGTACTCCCAGCTACCTGAGAGGTTGAGGTGGGAGGATCCCTTGAGCCCAGGAGGTCAAGGCCTCAATGAGTTGTGTTCACACCACTACACTCTAGTCTGGTCTGGGTAACAACATAAGACCCTATCTCAAAACAGAAAAGAAAAAGAAAAAATCTTTGGTACAGTACTAAAGCTACACTCAGAGGAAGAGCCACAGCATAAATACTTTCAACTGGGCAAGAATTAGATGGGCATTCAACTCAGGGTTAGAAAATAAACTTTTAAAAATAAGAATAAAGGAAATTAGAGTGATTCAGTTAAGAGAACAGAAGCCTGAAGAATTAATTCTAAAACCTAGGAGTTGTATTTTGATGGAAGGGGGAAAAACAAAACGGACAAACTATTAGCTAGACTAAAAAAACAATTATATGAAATGAGGGACTGAAAAGGGAGCAAGATAATAGAGAACAATCAAAATAAGTATAAAATACGTTTCCAGTAAATCTTAAACTACTAAATTTTAAATACAGATACAATGGATGATTTTCTAGGAAAATATAAATTGTCAAAAGCATAAAACAGAAATAGAAAACACTCTAATAACTTCCAAAGATTCGCATTAGTTACCCAGTTAGCTCCCCAGCCACTCCAAATACCAGTCTCCCGGACATTTTCATAATAAAAGGTAATTTCAAAGCTAACTCTTTTATTAAACTATCCTAGGAAACAGAAAACCTTCCAAATTCATTTCCTAAGCCAACTGTGCATAGACAGCACAGAGTATACTCGATAAAATTCTAAAGTATAATAGCAACCTATATATTATATTTATTATATGTCAGACACTGGTCTACCTAGGCAGTACATATACTTCAACTCCTTTACTCTAAAACAATTTGATGCTCTGGAGTGAGAGTCAAAATATTTAACAGCAAGTATAGAACAGACACTGACCAATCAGAAAAATGCCAGAGCTACGCTCTGCTGTGTCACCCTCTTTGTGCCAAACATTAATCGTCCCTTCAGCGGCTAGATAACCAAGGAAGGGATACGTATCTTAACAACCTGTACAGTGAGAGTGCCAGTGCCTACTGCCCAAGCACTACCCTGCTGATGAGCTGAGAACTATTTATTATCTACACTTTACAGTTCAGGAAACCCAGAAGAGTTAGTTAAAAGAAGAGTGTGGGCCAGGTGGAGTGGCTCATGCCTATAATTCCAGCACTTTGGGAGATCGAAGCAGGTGGATTACCTGAGGTCAGGAGTTCAAGACCAGCCTGGCCAACATGGTTAAAAGCTGTCGCTACTAAAAATACAAAAAATTAGTCCGGCATGGTAGCAGGTACCTGTAATCCCAGCTACTCAGGAGGCAGAGGCACGAGAATCACAAATCTGGGGAGGTAGAGGTTGCAGTGAGCCAAGATCACGCCACTGCAGTCCAGCCTGGGCAACAAGAGCAAAACTCCCATCTCAAAAAAAAAAAAAAAAAAAAAAAAAAAAAAAAAGGTGTCAATGTTCCACAAACTCCAGTTCAATCTCTTGATCTAACATGATATATATTCATGTTGAAAAGAAAAGAAAGCATTCATCATTACTGTTGCTTTAAAAGTTTTCATAAAATGTAATACACACTCCTGATACTAAAAGGAAAGAATACCAATATCATAGGAGCGGATAATACCATTATCTTTCAAAAGAGAGGCCCACATGATACACATTAAGCTGTATTTGTAGCTATCTTTTTTTTTTTTTTTTTTTTTTTTTGAGATGGAGTCTCGTTCTTTCACCCAGGCTGGAGTGCAATGGCGCAATCTCAGCTCACTGCAACCTCCGCCTCCCGGGTTCGAGCCATTCTCCTGCCTGAGCCTCCAAGTAACTGGGAGTAATACACCTAGATACATTCAGGACAGGAGTGGTGGCTCATGCCTGTAATCCCAGCCCTTTGGGAGGCCCAGGCAGGCAGATCATCTGAGGTCAGGGGTTCAAGACCAGCCTGACCAAAATGGTGAAAACACAAATTAGCCTACTAAAAAAATCTCTACTTAAAAAAAAAAAAACACAAAAAAACAGCCAGGTGCAGTGGTAGGCACCTGTATCACCAGCTACTCAGAGGCTGAGGCAGGAGAATCGCTTGAACCCTGGAGCCGCAGGATGCAATGAGCTGAGGTCGTGCCACTGCACTCCAGCCTGGGCAACAAGAGTGAAACCCCATTTCAAAAAAAAAAAAAGATTTACATACATACAATACATAAAGCCAGGGAGGTGAAAACTAGATGTATTCCTATTCCTAAGTATCAAGACAAAACAAAAATCCCTGCCATGATAGCCTTCTAACGGCGCACATCTTCCCCTTGAGTTGCCCTACCTCACCCCCTACTACTGCTGACCCTACAGCTGACTTTCCCACATTGCTCAGTAAGTCTAACATCCCATTATCAGAAGTTCCAGAAAGAGGAAACAAAGAAAACAGAAAAGGGGAAAAGATACATAGGGAGGTAGATACATACACACAAATAAAATAAATTTTCTGTACACTAAGTCCTAAAAGCCTTCACACAGAGAAAGTTGACATTTTTTTTTAATTTAAAATTGGTACTAGACTTCCCAAGTGAGAAGGAACAAAGGCAACTATTTGTTAAAAACCTTTTCGCATTGATTTTCATTTTATTTATTTATTTATTTATTTTTAAAGATGGGGTTTCACCATGATGGCCAGGCTGGTCTTGAACTCCTGACCTCAGGTGATCCACCCACCTCGGCCTTGCAAAGTGCTAGGATTACAGGCGTGAGCCACCGTGCCCGGCCTCACATTGATTTTTAACCTAATCGCCCATAATTGACAAAAATATATTTTGAAAATAAGATGATATATAAATGGAAAACACTTATAAAATTATAGTGACTAACATAGTCTACTCTGAATGTGGGAGATCTAAAGAACAAAACAGAATCCAGGAATGAACCAAAATTCACATAGAAATTTGATAAATAATGAATTTTATCTATCCTTCAAATCAGGAAGGAAAAAATGGACTCGTCAAAAATGATGTGTTGGTTAGGCACAGTGCTTCACACTTGTAATCCCAACATTCGGGAAGCCAAGGCAGGTGTATCACTTGAGCCTAGGGGTTCAAAACCAGCCTGAGCAACATGGCAAAACCCCATCTCTGCAAAAAAATAAAAAGTTGGCTAAGTACAGTGATACATGCCCACGGTCCCAGCTACTTGCGAGGCTGAGGCAGGAGGATCACTTGCATCCAGGAGGCAGAGGTTGCAATGAGCCAAGATCACACCAGTGCACTCTAGCCTGGGCAACAGAGTAAGACTGTCTCAAAACAAACAAACAAAAGAGCC